GAATAATTCCGAGTTCCAGTTATACAGTAGACGTTATCAACTGTTTGCTGATGTTATCCCCGCCTTTTCTGGCTCATAGAACCAATCAATGAAATGATGATTAGGGACCCGTACTACCTCGGTGCACTGCGCAACACTGCCGGCACTTGTCTCGTCGATGGTTGGTTGGACAAACTTATGCAAACAGCCTACGATGATCTCGTCATCCTTATTCCGAGCTCCTTATTCCCATATTCCCATATCGCATATTCCCAACTGCGGACCTTATGATCGGATATCGCGACTATCGCGACGTCTGCACAACGGTCCGCGAGAGGAAGATGGACAGAGTTGAAGAAGGAAAGGAAAAGAAAAGAAAGAAAAAGCATAACTATGTGTCGTCTACTAGTTAGATGCCCAGGCGCCACGCCAATTCACACCGTCTTCAGCAATAGGAGTCTAGATAGAAGAGGCCTGCACTGACTTGACCCACCCACGGCTCTTCTCTTCATTTTGTTTGTGGGGTACAGAATACAGAGTTCGTCCAAACGGAGTTGTTCTTTAAACGAAGAATGGAGACTTTCCAGCACATAGCTGAGGTATGCACCCTAATACCGGGACAACCTAGCCATGCAATGCTAATTAGTGCCGATGCCCTTAGCAGAGAGCACTAAACTCGGCATCGTTCGATTTAAGATCCTTCGCAGTCTCGCAACATTGGTCATTTCGAAGGATCGAAAATGATTACCTATGCCAGCTGGTGTAACCACCGCGTCGGTTACGCTTGGACGGCAGAACGGCTGAGAATGTTTAAGCAGATACCTACCTCTAGTCAGTCATCCCCCAAAAAGATTTGGGATATGCATCCGACGACGCTCATTCGTCCCAGCAGTTGGCGCCCGCCTGAAGCCACGCGACACGAGGCCCCTCGGATGAGCTGCGCCGCGGAGCATGAGGTTTTGAGTTAATGCACCCCCCTAACACTTAAATCCAAGGTCATAAATTGAGGCCTCATTCTACGCAATTGCTGCTTACATACTCGTATAAGTTTTTTTTCTGAGTGTCCCTTGCATGGTAGGTACCGCCTATCACGCCAAGAAATAGTGTTTGTGTAGAAAGACTAGTCTCACAATCTCTAATACCAACTTTGACGTCCATTATATGTATAAAATAAAATGCACATGGAAATAACCACATGACTTACATTATAATACCTAGCGGGAGGCGGAAATCGGGCTACGACTCTCCTCTACGTCGTTTCATAGCCGGGGTAGTTTCATACGTGCCATGTAACGCGAACCCATTCCTAAAACGGAGGCAAGTTACATCTATAGCCTATAAGTACGATAATAAGTGAGCATTCTCTTCGCTAGGGATATATATGAAATGATGCGGACACAACAAGGCCCAACATTAAATCATACATCATTTATTAGGAGACTACCTAATTACTAGCTTCAATGAGGTGTCAATTTCCCATTTCTTATATACTCAAAAAAAATTCGTTCCGAACCTTCCGCGCGCAAAAAAAAAACCAAAAAAAACGAATATAGTCAGCCCTGGAGCAAAAGGCATCAATGTGTTTACCACTCTTCTCCCATTGACGAATGGTGCCAGCCACGAGAACCGAGCTACGCGTAATATGTCACACGCATCATTACCTTAACGAAGCTGCATACGCCAGCAAGGGGGAAAGAGGCGAAATTTGTAACAACTAATGATTGAAGCCTGCAACCACTAACGAATGCCGTTGTTTGTGGCGCACTCGCAAGATATATGGATGACCATATTATTTAATTCGAGTCACAGAAGTGATGCTAAGCTGACTCAGCCCCCACCTAACACTCTCCCTTTCTTCCTCGTGCTCAAATCAGAAATCAGGAATATCGACATACTATGTTATAGTTGCAGTCTTGTCAGGGTGAAATGTTTTACACAGAGTTAAGTGATGCAAGACGTGGGGGAGTTGAGAATATGTACGGAGGATGCTGTGGGTGTGCTGTGCTGCTGTGCCATTACTAACTCTCACTGCGTTAGGCTTACCCCAAGAACGCCAAGTGGCAACAATGGTAAGAAAACCAAACTATAGGTATTAGTTTTTTGAGGATAAGACTTGAATAACGGTATGTATATGATGTTATATTGTAAATCCTAGTACTGAACGGCATCTCGCAGCGCTATTTAGTACACCGTGTCAACGAAGCCGTCATACTTTATATTACTACAATTTCGAAAACATGCCTGCTGTCCGGAGGAGCCACCGAGATGTGAAGGGGAAAGTTCATTACCTTAATAAAATACGTGTCTACGCAGCACAACTCCCGGCCTGGAAGTAGGACTAGATGACGGTAAGGGCCTCCGCGAAATCGAGGTTCTCCAAGCCCCGAATAGGTAGGTGGCTCCATCGTACATGATCAGATCACCCGTCTAACTTGCCAGAAAGGGACAAAGAGGCTGCCCGCGAAGTAAGCAATCACTTGAACAACCCGGCACTGGAATAATAGTGTATGGTTTCGCTCGTATTGCCGTGTCGCGATCACACAGGGAGAGGTATAATTAGCGACGAGAGTGAACCAAACAACAAGGTGTGATACATGTGCCTCCTCTTAGGGCTCTTAATAATTCCGATTCCCAAGAGAGCTAGTTGATGGTGTCACTTCCATCTATAAGCTGTAGGCGGGTAGGCAGATAAGACGAGACGGAGAGCGAAGTCGGCTTTGGGGTTATCAATTCTGTCTGCATCCTTGCCATCCAGGGGGCTGGCCTACTCTACAGTATGGCACATCTGGTTCCTGAATGGTCTGAAACGAAGCCCATTAACCTATCGGCACTCTCCGGAATGCTGTGCGAGCAATTGTTTCAGGCCGTCCATGTGCGAATCGGCAGTACAGGCGCTCTGCGCAGTCCCGTATATATGGCTTCCATCTTGATAGGACGGTTATATCCCGTACATTTCAACCGGACAAAGCCAGTTGGAATTTTACGTAGTACACAACCAACTGGTAATTTAGGGTACAGCTAGGTTTACATCTTCGCTATAATATGTGGGCATAGAGTCACCATATCTATCTCCCCCTTCCTCGCCCCCGTCCCCTGCCACCCCTGCCACCTCTCTTCGCCTTCGGGCGCATGTCCGTGTTTTCATACAGTAGTTCCTCGCCGAAGGCCATCTCGCCGAACCTCATGTAGCTAGTCAACCCGCGGTCTACGATGGCCAAGACGACGTTCCGCCACCCGTGTTTGAGGTGCTTGTACACGAAGCCCGCCCCCGATTTCCCCTCGTCCTTCTCAGGCGGATCCCACGGCGTGGACAGGAGCAGGGTGTCGAGCTGCTCGAGCGTCGGGACGCTGGAATCGCGGGCGTCCACGACGGCCATTTGAAAGTCGGGCGGCGGCGGTTTCGATTTCATGAAGGCTGTGTTGCTCTTCCAGATGTGGAAATGGATCTTGAAGGGGTCTTGGGGCTCGGGAACTTCGGATGGTGGGAGGGGAGCGGGCTTGTGTCGCTGTACGAGGGCTAGTTGCTCGAATATGGGCGCGTATGAGCGATATAGGCCTGGTCTCACGAGCGGCCCATACGGTGGGTATCTAGAGTGTTGGGTAAAGGGGTTATTCGTATTTTGGATAATTGAAAATAGCCATTGCCAGATTGTCCATGGTGTCTGTGACGACGATAACTGAGGTGGCAACGGCGTCGCTCTAAAAACCTTGTAGCCTGAACGTCTGAGGTTGGCGTAGACCTGGTATTTCTCGAGACTGATCTTGCCTCTTTCCCCATCTCGCCCGATAAAGAGCGCGTATGCAGCCTGTAAGCCCAGAGGCACACCGAGCTCGTAGTCCTCGAGTTTCTCCGGCTTCGCTGGCGATGCCTCTGGGTCCTCGCCTGCCGGGAAAATGTCCTCGATTCCTCGCACCGGCCACCATAAGTCTAGCGTCTCTCTCTCGATGAGGAAGAGGGCTTCTTCCGGCAAGAGCCATGTCTTCAACCAGCCTGGACTAAATCTCTCGGCGCTCGTAACGACGCGGCCGGTGGACAACAGCATAGAACTCTTATCTGACTCAAGCGCGACAACTCGCTCCCTCGCGAGCAGGCCCTGACCCGAGCCCCGAGCCTTCTTCGTCTGATCGCCTGGCCGTGCGTCGGTCGTGACATTGCTCGTCGGTTCACCGTCTGGCGACACGTCGGCCCATCGGTCGGGAAAGTACCATCCGCGCAAGACGTTTCGCGGTTGATGGTAACGGGTATAGCTCAGAACTTCGTGCATGGCCGAGCGGCTGGACTCGAGAACGTTCTCCTGCGCGCGTGTGCCATGTGACTCGAAGTCCTTCTCGCCGCGTCGTATGGCCCTGCTCGAAGCCTGCTGTTTCTTTCCGGAGCCCGGGAGAAGCGAGGTGAACAGTCGAAAGTCTTGGGCTTGGTCGCCGTCTTCGAGGTCGAAAGGAGCCTCGTCGCTGGCGGACGCGAGCGAGGCCGGAATCAGGTCTTCGTCGTCGAACGGCATCTTTCGATGTGGCGCAATTGGGACGATATAATAAATAACAAAATGGCGGATCGTTGTTCTTTTTTTCTCAGGCTGCCCCCCCTTGCTAAACTCTTCTATCTAGTATTTATCCATCGAGATCTCACAAGTAGAAAGATAGATGGTAACTGTCTATTCCTCGTAGGCTAACTCTTGTATGATATGTAACTGGTAGCAACTTGTAAAATCACAAACTTAAATCCATATTGGAGGGGCGGGTTCTTCTAGGCTGCGCGGATGCATCACTAAGAGGTGCAGTAGCCCCGCCATCTACTAAAATCTGCGAGCTCTACGTGCTAGGTTACCTCCGTATGTAGTACATAAAGTACAACATAGGTAGCATCTTCCTCCCCGGAGGTAAGATATTTATACTTAAGAGCTCAGCAGCTTTAAGGCATATCATCTTCTCCGGACATCATTGCTTGTGAGAATAGGTATTACCAGCGGGATATATGTTCTAAAAGCAAAATATAGTTAGGAAAAAATTACCAAAAAATTTCTTGAGAGCTGCAGGATTCGAACCTGCGCGGTTTCCCATCGCGGGATTTACGGTATGTCAGTGAATGACCGTACCTAAACACGACGCCTTAACCACTCGGCCAAACTCCCAGTACAAGTTTGATTATGGCGGCTATTCAATGCCTAGGTAGCTAAAAGCTAGTGGCGAAACTGCATGGAGTCCATGCCCGCTCGTGAGTTCAGCTGCAATCGAAATTATGATACCTACCCCTAATAGTACTTTTTACCAACTACGTGGCATAGTGGCACGAGGCTATATTTAGTACGAGTGATATAACCGTCATCTATTTGAAGATGTAACAAATACAAAGTACAGCATTATAACCTATCTTGCCGCAGCGCTAAAACTGCGAGGCAGACGCATTGTCTTCAGCCCCATGGACACGCGGTTATATTCTCACACCTTACCTACATGTTGGTGACCATTCACTTTGTAATCGAATCCCTTGCTCCCCGACATAGTGATCAGATTGAATCTTAATTTGTTTATTTGATTTGTCTCTCCCCTGTAGAGGTAGACCATATAATCCTTGCGTTGACGACGCAACTTAATTCTTCGGCTTTCTCGGGGTAGGCATTGCATCGCTAGATTACAGTAAGCCATTTCCCCTCCAGGTAGTTCAGGTATACTCTGATGACCTCCTTGATAAGAGTTTTAAGCGGTGCCAGAACGCCTCTGGATTCAAGAGCGGTATTAAACGCTTCGCGCAAAAGCAAGCCATCTGATCCTGACAGTGTCGGCAAAGCGAGCGATAAATGTTCGTGTCTAGGAACCAGAGCATTTTGGGTGTAGTAAAGACTGCGCCCAACGCAACAAGACCCCCAAAACACCGATGATACCTATGCACCATTGGCCTGTCAAGAGTGATCGTCTTTACCGTCCATCGTCTGAATACGCTCGAGACTATATGTCGAGTCGCCGTGACTTGCGTGTTTATTCTGAGGCGAGGAAGAGATCGATAACAATGGATATCCTTCCCGAGTCGTCGTTTCTGTGGCTCCTTTCCCTCGCCATAGCCGTGGGTTCGGTTGCCAATCTCAAAAAAAAGGCTACAGTCTACCCAAACTGACTCGCTCTCCAACGACGACCGCACTCTATGCTCGTCCCAACAACCAAAGGACTTTCACAAGCTAAAGTACCTGGTGAGTAAGGGAGGTCTGGATACCCCCACCTATAAGGCCGGTCGATGGATTGCGTCGAATATCTGCACGCCGTATAATGCAGCACAGGTTGATTGTGCCCGTGGCAACTGGGACACGTAGTTTAATCTCACGGCTGGTCGTAGGGTGCTTTAGTATCCAGAGCCAAAATAAGCGCTGGGCTGGTTCTCGATGTGTAGCAAAACCTTGGGTACTGTAATGGCCACTCTCAGTGGACGAAAACAGCGATTGCTGCCCACTGTTCATCACAGCTTGCTCCTTGCTCTTTGTCATCTTCATGCGGCATATCCTGCCCCTGTTCATTCAATTAGAGGCTTCTTTTGCCCCCCCACTAGACACAATCCTAATGTGGCCAAGGCGTTCTCATCACTCTCCAATACGACATGCCGAGCTGGCAGCATGGGATTGGTCTGATCAACGGATGAAGCATCTTTCGCCGCCTGCTCAATCGCGTCCATCTCTTCTTTACAGGCCTGATGATCCATGGGGCAGATCACGATAGGTTGCCGCAGAGTGATATCTCTGGCCGAGGTCATGCTCGCCTTTTACATGATTCGTTAGTACACATCCATTAGTTCCAAAGAGATGGCAAAGCTACGGGGGCGCACGCATACCTTGATGCTGAGAAAGAATTCTATCTTGTAAAGAGTTGACGTTGTCGTGAAAGAGGTGACCTCGTATTTGGGAAATGCCGGCTGCCCCCTCCGAACGATTCCGTTTGAATCCCGTAGGTCCTTATGTGGAAATATGACACCCATGTTCGTAACATAGCCCTCTTCAGGTAGCTTCGCGCCCACGACTTGGACATGCTTCTGTATCCGGTTCACCTTTTTTGTCGGTTCGTCGCCTTCGGGGTTGTAGGTTATCTCCTCCTCGATGGCTAACGTAAGGCTCTTCACCGTGACTTTTCTAGCCTTAGCCATCCAGTCTAAGTTTGGAGCGAGTTTGATGTAGACAGTGATTGGGTCCATAGGACCATAGCTCCATTTCGGTAATGATATAACAAGCGTGACAATGTTGTCGGTTGTGGCAAACTTGGTCTCCGGGCGATTGTACATTCCGAAGGTTGATAACGTATCGTATCGTTGCAAGGGCACTGGAAATGCATATTTATTCTGCACACTTGGGCCCTGCTGCACCGTGACGACCAACTCGTAGTACGTTTCAGCAGTCCTACTAGGAAGCTGCAACGATGCGGGCGGTATCCTTCTGTTTGTCTCTTCGCCTCCCCGCCCGAATGGTATAAAGAGGACGAAGGGCAGATCCATGGCGATGACATTGTCGGCCCCCCTCCCCGATTGGCATCGATATAACAGAAGCTCCTTGCCAACGACGTCTGTCGTTTCCTTTCGGGGCGTGCCAAGATGCCGTTTGGCTACATTTTCCGCGGCTGGGTGTATGGTTTCTCTTCGTTGCAGACATATTCGAACTAGCGAGATGGCGACAGGGGCCGAAATACCCTGTTGCGGGCGAATCTCGACTTTTCCCTCGATACGCGGCTGAAGACTTGTATTAGCCTACTGTTGCTCGCTATGCCGCCCCCAGGACCTGAGCAACAGATTGAAAGAGACACTATAAGTGACATCGCCGAGCTTCGATGCGACGCCTTTCGCGGGAGATGGAAGGACAGCAAGGATTACGCAATGCGACAACCGACAGAGTCCAATCCAAGCTCAGGTGATCGATTTACAACAGCAGTGGACTTACTAGGGTGGCCGAGATGCCTGGGTATCCGACTAAGAAATTACTGTTTGGCGGGCCCGAAACACGGACGAGGGCGGCCACTCGATCCGTCATGTTTCGTCGCACGGGAGGATCGTCATGAAGATGGTGGATGCAGGCGGAAGCGAATGGGACGATGGTGGGGTTCGAACTCGGGAGCTGATTCAGTAGCGGCAACAGTGACAGCGGCGACGCAGCGTTGACCGCATCTATCGCGCACCTACGGCCGTGCGCCGGTAGACGGTCTCGAGGAGCGCGATGATTGAATTACTCGTAGTTGTTGAGGTCGGGTCGATGTCTGCGAGGAGGAGAAGGCGGTGTGAGTACGGAGGACGGGCGATGGGTAATGGGCGTCGTAATCGGAGAACTGGGGGGCGTATCTCTTCTTCTTATTATCGTCGCGAAGGTCTCGGTAGAGCCCACTCACTACTTGCGTAGTGTGTATAACAAGAGGCAAAGCAAAGGCCAATTTGTGGGGAGAGGGAGGGCCGGAGGGAGGGCCGGCGGGAAGCAATGGGTGGCGGTGGTGTGTGTGTGCGTATGTACGTGCGTGTGTGTGTGTGTAGGTATACTTTGTAATGTGTGTACTGTCGTGCGTGGTCGGTTTCTTTGTCGACGGAGAGGCGTATAAGACGACACGACGGCAGCGGCGAATGCGGCGGAGATGAGAACCGGGACAAATAAGTTGTGTTGGATTGTTTCAGTAAGGTTGTTCGACTTGATGGAGACTCAGAACTGAGACCCAAGGTTGGTTGGTTGGCGCACACTACCTCTTAGGACCTACCTACTGTAGACCTACTAAGAGGTAGGAGGTAGTTGCCTCTTAAGGCTGCTGCAAATGGCTGCAAATAGGTGTAGCGGCAACCTCGTCACACCACCAGCGGAGGTAAGGTACTTCTAGTCCCTTTACTTTGTAGGTACCTACATACTTGTATGGACTTGGCCAGGGTGATAAGAGAACGGGGAATGATACCTCTCTAAGTGGAGGTCGGAGTGGAGGTGAAAGGTGAAGTCAGTACAAGTGCCTACACCAGTTCCCACCTACAAGGTAGCATCTCTCCACTTATTGGCTCTTTTCGGCAAAGTCCCCCACAAATGTACAACAATTCCAGTACTATGCAGTATGTTGCTCTTCAAGCACTTCAATCTCTTCCAAGGTTGCAAACTTCCATATATATATGTAGTCTAGAACCATAATATCTACACATGTACCTGGAGAAAAGCAATAAGAATGGACATACATTGCTCCCTGAAAAATAACAGTAGAAAAACGGAGGCAACAAAAAGTGTCTGGGCCTTTTGTAAAGTGATCAACTAGGCATGTATCCGCCTAAGGTTGAGTAAGGTGCGTTGAGGTGCAGGTAAGTCGAAATACGACCTACCTTACGAAGTATAGTAGAACGGATTTTAAAAGACAATGTCTAGGCCGTAATTGGTCAGACATTAGAAACAAGGTAGGGTAGCAGGCTGAGCGGGACAACGATAAGTATCCTAGGCATGTAGCCATAAAGATGATGGACAGCAAAGATGGAGATTGTGCTTACAGAAAATATCGGCATTCTTGATTCTATAAGGTTTTATTGAAAGCCTACTTCGGTAGCATGTATGGTTGCTATAACGCTGGGAGCGCGTTAATGAAAGCTATCCCGAGGGTCCCCACAAGAATCGATCGCTAACTTTCTATCTCTTACATGGATATCTACTGGGATATACTTTAGATAGAAATACTTACCAAGTCACGGGGAGATGTCGGATGTCGGATGTTTGGCTTAATTTGGATTTCACGATGGAGCTGAGTAAGATAGCTGAGGGACAAGCGCCAGAAGCTGAATACCTGACAAAGTTGTTCTGAAAGGCTGGGACTTACATCTTTGAAGGTCAATCGTCGGGAAGGGGATACCGGCATGAGTTTGATGTCAACTTCGCAGGTACAGTACCTACATGTATACCTACATGTATAGCATCATGTGTTTCAAAGTTTGCAATGACAAGGCAACCTTCCACGTTTCAGCTTTTTCACGACTTATTCAAGAGTGGCTATTGGGCGGCAACTCCGCATGCTACCTAGAAATCGTTCTCATATCCCACCACCTGGGACCCGTTTGCGCCCTAACACGTGGAACTGGAGACTTGTCAGCGACTTGTGGAACTCTTTCTCTCTATTCATGACGTTCCGCGCCATCAGTGATCCCCCCTCTCTTGGCTAG